CTTACTTACCGGTAATTACTTACTTACCAGTATTTACCAGTACTTACGTATTTACCAGTACTTACTTACTTATTTACCAGTACTTGTTTACTTATTTACCACTACTTGCTTACTTATTTACCAGTACTTGCTTACTTATTTACCAGTATTTATGGTACTTACTTCTAAGTACTTATTTGCTTTATTAATCCCCAGGTATTAGTACTTATTTGCTTTATTATTCCCCAGGTATTAGTACTTATTTGCTTTATTAATCCCCAGGTGGGGGCAGGGGGGAATTTGAGGCAACCAGTGGCATGTTCTAATTATACAGAAAAAAGGCAAGTTTGGAAAAAGACAAAATGCACATGCACAAAGTGGTAGGGAGTACTACATTCATAATTAACCATGTATATATACACTGTACATGTAAATATACATACATACACCAACATAAGTGTCCGAAAATGAAAATCCTTGTCTTTAGTAACCAAAACCAGAACCAAAAGACATGACAAAAGTCCAGAAGAGCCAACTGTTGTTACCTTCCAGAAACAAAATCCCCTGAGATTTTGGAAAAAAAACTTTTGAAATGTTGCCAAAGAGCAAAGTTTTTCCATGTGTCTCCCTTCCCTTCCCTGTTCTGAGTCAGAGTGAAGCAGAGAGAGGAGGATGTTGAGTTATCTCCTGTGTCCCACATTTTATGTGTACATGTGTATAAATAATACCATTTCCTGAGAGACGTTACATGAGCCAGCTTTCTGAAAAATGTTCTCACAATACGCTCTTGTTTTGATGCAAATGACTCAAGGAGCGGGGAATTACTCATTCTGAAAGTTGGGGTGTCTCGAAGCGCCTCTCTCCTTTTTAACCTGCATTTCTCCCTTTTCAGTTTGGACTCCCAACAAGGAGAAGCCGTTCAAAACCCGAATAGACAGTGGTTTCCAGCCGGAAGGCATGAATCCCATTATCAACGCCACTTCAAGGGCCAACATGGCCCTCATCAGCAATGCACTGGCAGCTTACACTTACCTGTCAGGTAGGTTCATGTTTGTAAAGTCTAATGAGATTTCAGGTGAAACGAAGCAAAAACACAAACACTGATTCCCAATAATTAAGAGAAAGATTAAATTTTATTAGACAGAATCAGTTTTGATCATAATTTCTTCTGAACTTCTTAAAATCAACTGGAAAATTTGTATTTTCTGTGAAAATATGTGACTGTTGAGTGCTGAATGAAATAGCTGGAATATGTGACAGAAGCTGAAACTGAACTGCAGAAATTAAAACAAGCAGAACAAAAACTGAAAACTAAGATGAGCAAAACAAACAATGCCAAATTTAGCTAAACACAGCTAAAATAGGCAAAACTTCAGAAAAAAAGCTAAAATGAGTAAAACCGTTGCTAAAAGCTTAATTAAGCCTAACCACAAATAAAAACTAAAATTACCTAAGTAGCAGCAAAAAATGGTTGCAGCTAAACTTAAGCTAATAGTCTAGCAAAACTCCAAATCAGAAGCTAAAACAAATGCATGTAAAGCTTTTGTTAAAGCTAAAAAATAGGCAAAGCTGAAACTACAATTTTAAATGTAGCAAAATTATAATGAAAAGCTAAAATTAGCATCGGCTGAATGCGAAAATAAGCATCATAATGGCTAAAAGCTGAAATTAGTATCAGCATTCACACAATTCTAGTTTGTTAGAACTGCATGGTGCATCACTTAATCTACATGTTTTTATTTAGAAACCCTAATTAATTTTTCTTTTCTAAATTTCCAAGTAAAAAGTGGGTAAATGTGAGCCAGATCCATTGAGATGTAAAGCAGATATTAGCTTGTAGTAGCCGTTAAGTCACCTGGACCAAGCAGCTGCTGAAACACGCTTTATTGGAGGATTCTTCTCGTTGTACTTCCTTCCTCCTCTGGTTCAGTCCAAACAAAATGAAATGCATCCAGCTCTGAAAGGTTTCTCATATGTTGTGTCTGCCACAACAGTTCCTGATCTACGGATATTTGCCATGCCAGATGTATTAGAATGCCAGAAAACATGTGGTTACGTTTTGCTTCCTTTTTTATTTGGCTTTCTATAAGTGCCTGAGGGCACAAAAATACTACAAATAGAAAAGAACATGTATTGAGATGAAGCTAAGCTAAATGTAAACATCCAACAGGAGCCAAACCGCTGGGGTGATTGTAACGTGGGCGTCCTGCTCCAAGACAATTGAGACTGCGAGAGTCTGAAATAGAAGCGCACATGTAGGCGAAAAAAAAGCAATGCAGTGCTGCCAGTAGGATCGTTTTATGTAGCCAGAGGCAAGTGATGCCAAAATGTTTTGTTTAGTCAGTTAAACTGCTGGACCTTCCTTACATTTAGTTTTTTTGTCTTGAATAAAATGGCTTTTCTCCACTTTAGTTGTAGTATAGACAGTGATTGTTTCAGCTGGAAATCTTGCTAAGGAAGGAAAAACAATGTCCTAATTTAGTTTTCTGTGATAAAGCTGAACTCTGAGGTCTACAGGATGGGGTTTGATGAGTTTTCTTTACCATCACCTTTAAAAAAAAACAACACACGAGAGACCAGAGTGATTATTCAGAACGGGTCCTTGCAAGGAGGAACAGAAATTCCAACAGAGTCAGAATTTAAGTTCAACTTGCTTGTAGCGTACGCTCGTATTTATTGGTGACGGTTTGCTGATAACAAGGTTCTTTTACACAGACGTGGCAAACGGAAAAACAAGGACAGTAAGTATTTTGATAATGATAAATACACAAGGTCTGTGATTTAGAAACATCTTCTGGAACATTTTAACAGTCTTGTGTAACAGATAACTGCATGTTGACGCACACACAGAAACTGGTCAAAGCAAGTTGGCTGATCATAATGAACAGTATTCAAAAAAGAAGTTTTAAATGATTACTCTGAAAAAATTCCCTATCAGGGTTGTTGGTGTAAAGTGGGTTTTACATGTACAATGAAGATAATAGCAAATATTTCTGTGGAGGATTTTTTTTAATCCATAAAATAACTTTTTATTAGAGATGCACGATATTGGAATTCTGGCCGATATCCGATATGTCGATCTATTAAAACTTAATTGGTCAATAACCAATTCCAATATTTTTTTTTTCTCCTAGACCTACTTACAGAGACTACACAGCTTTCTCTGCTGTGGAACTAAAATACTACATTATTCTGCATGATCTTTGTCAGTTTGGCCTGCTACCAAATGCAGATGCCAAAAAGGCTGAAAATGATGCAACACTTCAACTTGGATTATGTTTAATGTCAAATGGATTCATGACATTTACTCTATATATATATATATATATATATATATATATATATATATATATATATTAGTGCCCTTTATATCGTTGAGTTATGTTGATGGAATGGCTCATGTCCGATATTTAACTTTATCGCTAATATAGGCCGATACCAATACCATGACGATAATATTGTGCATCCCTACTTTGTATTATTATTTTTTTAGAAGAAGGGAAACACGTTGAGTTAGTATGAAGCGATACAAAAAGACACAAATGAACCAAGCGGAGGAAGTGAGCCGTCTGAGCTGCTGCCAGTGTTCAGTGGAGCGCGACAGGTTTTTGAAGAAGATAAAAGAAAACAAGACGGAGTCGGTGAATCTTTGACATGTTCCCTGTAAGAAATCAATTCAATGTGACGTTTCCTGACTTCCATACTCGTTCTTCTTTCCAACAGACCACCCAGAAAGGGCTGCACTTTTCTTCGTCTGCGGCGTGTGCTTGGGCCTCTTCCTCACCCTCTTCGCCCTGGTGGTCCACATCTCCTGCCGCACCGACTGCCAGCCCCGCCAGCAGCTTCCCGCCAAGAAACAAGCGCGCCCCGCCGACTCGTCCTCCGACTCCAGCGACTCGGACTCGGACTGGGACACCAACTCGGACCTGTCGGCGCGACGGCACCGGCGCTTCGAGCGCACGCTGAACATGAACGTGTTCACGTCGGCCGAGGAGCTGGAGAGGGCGCAGCGGCTGGAGGAGAGGGAGCGAATCATACGGGAGATCTGGATGAACGGGCAGCCGGACATCCCGGGGACGCGGAGCCTCAATCGCTATTACTGACGACTGCTTCGTTGACTTGACTTGAACGAACTCGTGAAACGGAGGAGGGGCGAAACGGACTTGAAGCTTTTGGACCAAGCGTTGCAAAAGCAACAGAGGAAGGCTTTGCAGGCTTCACCTTCCTCTGGCTACCAAAAGCTGCACCCCGCCTTCAGTCGAACAATAAGCTCCCGCTCTGCACGGCAAGCTGGCTCTCACCGCCGGAAGCGAGAGGTGAAAGGCTACGCTGGCTTGCCGTTGACCTCAGCAGGCCTTTTTGAAGTGGAGATTTATGGGCTGGCTGCTTTAGACATACAGAGGCCTGCAGAGGCTACAAGCTGGCTGAAAGAAGACGAACGCAAGGCAGCTGGAAGAAGCTGCCACACTTGGAGCTTTGTGCTCAGTCCTCCAGTATTTTCAGCGTGTTCTTTAACAGATGGGCATTTTGACTAAAACGTGCTTGACAATGGGACAATGTAGGACAATCTTTCAACTGTGGATGACCATGCTGCCTTTTGAGCTTTATAAAAACCACATTTATTTTCTGTGTATGTATGCGTGCGTGCGTGAGTGTGTGTGCGTCCAGGGGATTCATCTCAACCCTCATGAAATATATTTTATAATATTTAATAGTTTATTGAGATTGTGTACTTTTTGTTTGCAAGTATGGTTAATTATAAGATTTTTTTTTATATATATATATACTTGGCGATGGTTGTCTGGCACCTCAGGGATGCAATCCTAGTGTTTCTGTGTTTGATGCGCCGTCTTCCTGAGAAAGAGGGACAGCTCAACTAAATAACTTTTTTTTTTTCCACATTTAAAGAAAAGATCAAGCAATATGATGTAAACGACCTCAAAGAGGTTGTTTTTTTTTTAAGCGATTAAAACTTATTTTTGATACAGTGATTCACAGTGCAGTGCCTTTAGCTACCATATCACACTTGTTCAGATTACAGTCCCTCAAAACGGCTCCGTTTATTAATTGAAAGTCCTAAAATGTATCTTGTCAAATTTGTATTCATGTGTTTTTTTTAACAATATTTATGTTATGGCGAGGTGGAGCTTGTGTAAATCTGAATGTTTTACTGAATATTGCACTTGCTATCTGCTTTGATGAAAACATAAGTTGTGAGAAAATGCCAAATTTGTACCGAAGAAGACCTTCGTCTATCAAAGATTGTGTGAACTTCAGGGCTCTTTTCATTGCAGCCTAATCTTAACGCTGTCAGTGCTAAACCAATGCTCGTGGTTATCACTGCCGTCTGAATTAAGAGACCAGCACTGCAGACTAAATGTGCACAGCGGACATGCAAAGGACTTAAATCACAGTGCCAGTTCAATAACATAAGCTATTGTCAGTTTCATGAAAGCTTTCCATTTTCTTAACAGAAAGTACAAGAGTAACACTAGGTTTGGAAGAGTTTCAGGTGTGCTATTAACTGGTAATGTAAAACATGACTCCTGTGCTTGGAATAAACTGTTCAAAAAAAAATAAATCTTTTTTTTTTTTTTTTTCTTGGAGATAATGTACATTCATTTTCAATTTTATGCCTGCATAATTCTTCCAGCGTGTCATAGAACCGAGAAGAATAAACATTTTTAGTTCATTTGTAGTTTTAGCTGAGCAAATATGAGAAATAACAAACGCTGTTTGGGCTTTCTTGGCCTCGCGCGCCACCTAGTGGTTATGTTGGGTTACTACAAATTGAATTCAAATAATCGTGAATAAACAATAATTGCTATAAATTAAAAGTTTTACTGTACAATTTGCTTGTCAATAGAACATGAACTGAATGTAGCTCTCACTGCAGCCAAAAGTCGAGCCATTATAATGTTTTGGTTGTTTTGGTTGTCAGTTTGCGGTCTTCTCGTTTCCATGGAAACCATAAACTTACCCGTGTGGACTGACCGTGTCGCAGTTTGTACCTAAACAAAACCTCTTATTTATTTAAGCGCTCAAATTAAAAAAAAAAAAAAAAAAATCTGTTTTGTCCGGTTTTTACAGATAAGTACAAATTAAGAGACAAACCCAACTAGAAAATGTCTTCGAAGTGGAACAACCACGGACTTCCATTTTTACCTGGAAACACTTTTCGGGATGTGACGGTAAGAATGCAGCCATAATTAACTACAGGGTGGTTTAATAAATGTTTAAATCAAATATAACTCAAAACCTGTATGTTCGTTTTCTACAAGTTTTATTTGTAAGAACATTTACTCACGTTTCTCTGTTAGCAATCGTTTGAAAGTTCGCTCTGATCAAGTTTATAATAATTGCCCATTAAAGTTTGGTTATTCACCCAAAATAAGAAAAAAATGG